CAGTAACCAGCCGAACAATTGCTGAACTTGTACAGCGGATCGTCTTCAACAAACACACCGGACTGGCCGAAGTCAAACAGAAACGAGAAGGGTAAGATAATGCTCGTTCCTGGCACAAATATTGGATTATGTGGTGATCCGCCGGTGGCATCCATGGATACATCTGGAGAAACATCCTAGAAAATATGTTTAAATGCCAGATGGATAATATTTTGGGAGTTCAGAATATAATCTTAGTAATAGTAGTATGATACGATCTACTGTTTTTATACCGTTGGCCTTATGCTTTTATATTCAAGTTTATCCGACTTTGACATTAGCACAAGATACTCACAAAATAACCTATTCGTGATTTCAAAATTTAATTAGCTGCATAATCTTGAACCCTTCTAAAGAGTATTTTATTTTTAAATCAATATATAATTTTTATTTTATTTTTATATTTTTACCTTTTAGAATTACTAGTTATTAAAAGTAAAGTAAAAGTAATATTGCTCAAAAGACAATATTTATTTTACACTCACCTAATAATTAAACTTAAATCGCATTTACTAACAAGATGCCTTATTTCGTCTTCGCAACGATTTAAGAGAAATCTGAAAATGTAATATTTTCCTCACCTCATTACAGATGGCGCAGAACATGTTTTTGTACAGGAGTTGAGTGGCTTGAGAGTACACTCTGTACACGTAGCCCTTGAGCTCCTGACAGGATGTACGGATGTATTCGCTCACGTTAGAGCTGTCGTCACATGTGTCTATCATCTCAGCACTGATCAGTACAATGGTAGCAAGGTTCAGTTAATATTGGCAATGGGGTGGCATATTTGAGGTGTATGGGGGGGGGGGGGGTGAGAGGGTCTTACACCAACCCCACCCCCACACACATACTCACTGATCCGAAAATGATAGTTGTCTTATATTTAGGTTAAAGCTATTGACTACAATGCGCTCGTGTCGATTTATGCAAGCAATTTCAAAATTTTGATCTTTAATAAAAACTACAATACTCCTTTTTTTTAATCGTATGGTATTACAAAACTTTGAATGTCACAAAAACTAAAATACTACTTTTTTAATACCGTTTGAAATTTCAAAACTTTCAATGTCAAAAAAAACTACAACTGTACGTTTTTACTTTCTCGTATATACGTAGTATAGAGAAAGTATTGTAATCGTGCAAAAAAAAAAAATCGAGATTTTTACAAATCTCGACGTTTTACACCTCACTGATACGGAAAAACATAATTTTGCAATCTTGTCCGTATGTCTGTGTGTGTGTGTGTCTGTCTGTCTGTCTGTCTGTCTGTGTGTAAACACGATAACTTGAGTACCGTTACAGCTAGGTTGATGAAATTTCATATATAAGTATTTTATCAAAATCGTAGATCCGTATCAACTTTTGAGCGATTTCCGATAACCGGAAGTGGTACTTTTCCTACTTTGAATTTTTCAAAAGCCTATAACTTGAGTACTATTTCAGATAGATAAATGAAATTTCACATGTAAGTAAAAGATCTAATTCTCTACCTTCTGTTAAATTTTGAGTAATTTCCGTTGACTGGAAGTAGTAATTTACGCTACTTCCGATTTCTCAAAAAACTAATGTAAATTTTTAAAGTACTAATAATATTGCGCACTATTATACGCGTTTTTATTCGGCGTTTGCTTGGTGCGCAATGTTTTTTTTATGAGATTCTATTCTATTTTTAAAAGTTTAAGTATTTAAAATGGATTAAAAATCATAACTATATCCCCAGTTACCATCCCCTGTTGTTTTATATAAGAATATTCGAGAAAGTTTAGGGGAGATCACTCCCGGTTTATTTAAGAGAGATTCCTGTCTACGCTATAGATTACAATCAAATACAATCAAAGCTTGATAAAGAGTTACCTGAAAAATCTGCTGTCGCAGGAGGTCACATTTGTGGGGTTAGGTAAACTCTGCTCCACCTGACATCCTGAGATTGGCTGGAACGCCAGCCGCAGCAACTCTTCTTGGGTTGTTGCGGCGTAGACTTGAAAGTAGTTGACACATTTCAGACTGACCTTGAACTTCACCAGCTGAGCAGGTAATGTGGAACAAGTGTTATTGCAACTTAAATTAGGAAAATCATTATTAAACAGTTGTTTAATTCAAACAAAAAAGTCAATGAGTTTTTTTTTTAATTGAGTGCCAAATTAAAAAGTTATAAATATTTTTGGATCATTGAAGTGAAATTTAGGCATATCGCATATTTCTATTTCCGTTGCAGTTTTTTTTTTGAGAATATTATTTCCGGTACTAGTGCAATGCAGGGAAAAAATTAAGGTTAATACTGGAAGGATTCATTGACAGGGGCGTACGTAGCCTATGTAGCTAACAATAGTATTTTAAAAATCTCCTTTGCAGGATTATAAAGTGGGACGGCGTGACCGAGCGGTAGAGCGCTAGACTGTTACCCTGAAATTCTTGAGTTCGAATCCGGGATCAAGTCAGTGGAACGTCCCTGAGTCCACCTAGCTCCGATAGGTACTTAATTCACCTTCGGGGAAGTAACGGCGGCTGGGCATAGTGCTGACCTTATTATCCCTTCCATATGCCGAGGTCAAGAAACATGAACTCTACTTCATCTACCCATGGACCACTAGGCTAGAAATGGTATTTTACTTACTAGTTAACTAGGAAGGAGACATTATTACTAGTTTATATGGAATCCCTCCATATAAGCAGTGTCTCTTTCGGACTTTTTTTTACTGCGGGGTGAGGGGGTGGACTTGAAATTTTCGAATAGGCGGACTAAATTTTTCTGGGGGGGGGGGATAAAAGTATTTATTTTCTATATAAATTCTATTTCTTTAGGGGGGACATTCTAGAGGGGGGGGGGGGGCGAAGGGATGCCTGAAAGAAACTCTGCGTATAAGGATATGTGTAAGAAAAAGAGAGAGGTTGGTTCACATGCTTCATAATATGTCAATATTAGATGCTCTAAAACTAGGCTAAATGTTATAGTTAAACATTTCCTTACGTTAGCTTCAGGAACCCCATTACAAAGAGCGCAGTCTGTGTTTCTGTAGACAATGTTCGTAGACGTATCCAGTACCCGAGTCACGAGGTCAGCCTTGACCTCCCGCCAAGGAAAGTCTATGACACAGTTGGCGAACGAGTCGTTTTTGCCGTAGCTGCCTGAGCATGACCAGATGTACAAGACTGACCTCTCTTTAGACGTATCATCGCATCCAAGCAATGTCAAGTCTGTGTTTACTTCCGGGTAGTCGGAAGTCGGAAATCCTGGTACATCCGGGCAACACACGCCGTATGTGTCACACGCAGGACGCTCACAAGTACACGGAAAGAATGATATCCAAGGAGTTATCACGACTTCTGTTTGGTAGTTGATTGAGTCACAGTTGCAGCAATCGGTGATTTGAATGGTTTTGGTGTGGTTCGCGGCGTCGCTGGTGTTGGATTCTGGGAGAGTGTATGGGTCATCAGGTGTCGGGATGGTGGGTTGAACATCTTTAGGGGAGGGCTCGCAACTGGGTGGTGTTGTTGCAATGGGCATCAAATTTTGGTGAGGTGATGTTGGGGTTGTTTCCGTTTGATGTTGTAGTGGTATTGTAGTTTTGGAACTTGATTCAGGCAGAGTTTTGGAACTTGATTCGGGCAGAGTTGTGGAACTTGATTCAGGCAGAGTTTTAGAACTTGATTCAGGCAGAGTTTTGGAACTTGATTCGGGCAGAGTTGTGGAACTTGATTCGGGCAGAGTTGTGGAATTTGATTCAGGCAGAGTTGTGGAACTTGATTCAGGCAGAGTTGTGGCACTTGATTCAGGCAGAGTTGTGGGACTTGATTCAGGCGGAGTTTTGGAACTTGATTCAGGCAGAGTTTTGGAACTTGATTCAGGCAGAGTTTTGGAACTTGATTCAGGCAGAGTTGTGGGACTTGATTTAAACAGTATTATGGCACTTGATTCAGGCAGTATTACAGAACTTGATTCAGTTAGAGTTGTTGAACTTGATACAGGCAGTATTATGGCACTTGATTCAGATATACTTGTGGCACTTGATTCGGGCAGAGTAGTGACACTTGATTTAGACAAAAGTGCAATCGGTGACCAACTATTTCCTGGAGTCACCTCGGCAATTTCTTCAACACTTCGCAAATCCAAGCCTTGAACCACATCCGTCAATACTTCTAAATTTGACGTTAAAACATCGCTGGTTCTTATAACTTCACTACCCAAGTTCTCTCTCGTGTATAAGTTGTCTCCCATGGTTACAGTACTCACCTCCGTGATGTCTAACACAGAAAAACTTGCCTCCACCGGCTCTCCGGAGCAACACGATATAAAACAGCTGAATAATAAACACACAAGTATTGTTTGTAAACGCATTTTCTTTGCGTATATAAGTTGTCAAATTACACTTACTTTTAGTTCAAATCGTTGTTGTTTTGTTTTTTTTCAAAATTTCAATACCATTAAATTAATATTTCATCATAAAACATGGTTTTAAATCACTAAATTCCAATTATTAAATATTATAATTTGTATTCAAAAATGTAACTTCTGCAGTTGTATGAGATAGATCTAGATCGAATCCTTATTTACGAGTATTGTACAAACTTAACGCAAGCGCTGACCCATCTCATCTGCCTGGGGTTAGACTGAAGCATGCTATGCCAGCCTAGACTGATGAATTAAACCCTACAACAAAGCCTGCGATGTAGAATCAAAGTCTCCACTGTGTACACAAACAGCCATTAACTTTTTGCGTATTTAGAGGTTTTCAAAAGCAATGGCCGATCATTACAGTAGTACAGTATTACTGATCAAACAAGAGACGCTAATTTTTATGTTAGTGATGATCGTAGTCTGCCTTAGCGGTTCTCAAAATAAATGCCAATGGTAGTTTGTTGTTGTTTTTTTTAGTTAAAAAATTATATATAAACGATGATAGTTATGATTACTAATAGTTATAGCTAAGACGTGTCAAACAGATCAGTTAGTCCCAAAGTCCCTAAGAAAAGCTCCTATAAGGTTTTTCAGACAACCTCCGATAAGGTTGATCAGACAACCTCCTATAAGGTTTATCAGACAACCTCCTATAAGGTTTTTCAGACAACCTCCTATAAGGTTTATCAGACAACCTCCTATAAGGTTTTTCAGACAACCTCCTATAAGGTTTATCAGACAACTTCCTATAAGGTTTATCAGACCACCTCCTATAAGGTTTATCAGACAACCTCTTATAAGGTTTATCAGACAACCTCCTATAAAGTTTAGCAGGCAACCTCCTATAAGGTTTATCAGACAACCTCTTATAAGGTTTATCAGACAACCTCCTATAAAGTTTAGCAGGCAACCTCCTATAAGGTTTATCAGAAAACCTCATATAAAGTTTATCAGACAACCTCCTATAAGGTTTATCATACAACCTCCTATAAGGTTTATCAGACAACCTCCTATAAGGTTTATCAGACAACCTCCTATAAGGTTTATCATACAACCTCCTATAAGGTTTATCATACAACCTCCTATAAGGTTTATCAGACAACCTCCTATAAGGTTTATCATACAACCTCCTATAAGGTTTATCAAACATCATCCTATAAGGTTTATCAGACAACCTCCTATAAGGTTTATCATACAACCTCCTATAAGGTTTATCAGACAACCTCCTATAAGGTTTATCAGACAACCTCCTATAAGGTTTATCAGACAACCTCCTATAAGGTTTATCAGACAACCTCCTATAAGGTTTATCAGACAACCTCCTATAAGGTTTATCAAACAACCTCCTATAAGGTTTATGACGGCTACAGAAACACCTGGATTGTTGTGTTACCCTCCCCTGATTGTTTTAGGTTGTCCAGAAAGTTCTTCATCCTTCGGGGCAGTGGCGGAACGAGAAAACAATGCTCTGGGGTGGGGCTGACAGAACCGCCTTCAGAGGTGTGTCACAATTCTCCCCATACCTTCCCCAGTTATACTTGTATAAGTTAAGGGAAAATTTCTTCACTGTTATCACTTTCCTCAAACTATAAAATAGGAATTTATTTTCCAGATAACTGACAAAACTACATATATATATATGTAACTAGGGTAAGTTACGACAACAGTGGCCCTGCTGTTTTAGGGGTGGGGACAGCGCGACGCGACGTATCACCTATACCCACGTGTCGACCGGGCGTGGCCAGAGTGACCATAATTGCTGTGGCCCCCAGAAAGACGATCGCTGACAGCATTGTACTGGACAAGCTGTTAAATTGAACACAAAGGCATGCTCGCGGACTACAGGACGGCTGACAGTTTACGACACGATAAACTCTCCGAAACTGACCGGAGCGTGACAATAGGCCAGGAATAGCAGGAACAGGTAACCTACGGGGAAGACGAACTGACACTTTTACAGCTAGGGTATGACCTGACCTTCAGGAACATTCTTAGATTCTAGTGGTAGCGTATATATACGGACATCGACACAAGACCGGCCCTTTTAACCAGAAGCTACACGAGAGACGGGAGACTAGACTTTGGTCGTGGTACTAGTTGTAAATCCAGACCAAGATAGAAGGAACCAGTACCGACGTGTTTACTGTTTACCGGACTTAGGGGTGAGTAAGATTGTGTTTAGCTGTCATTGTTAGTGGATATATTGTGAATGGTGTGTATGAATGGTGTATGTTGTGCGTTGTTAGTTGATACTTTGGGATGTGGAGTATGAATGTAAGTTGTTAGGTTAATAGGTTGTTGAAGTGAAAGACTAGATGATTGTGAGGATTAATTGTTATTTATTGTTTATTTCTCTACAGACTTTGGAGGTCTGTTGGGTTTTTCGTTTTAGTTTGATGTTATTTGTCAATAAAAGATCGAACCTACCATTGAGTAGAAGACAAAAGTGTTTACTTCATTGGTTACATTTGGCGCTGCGAGCAGTAAAACCCAACAAGACTAGCCTTTAACGGCATCCATTGTTCGCTGAGTCAACGGTCGAGGGCAACCTAGGCCTACCTGACGAGAACACCCTAGGCCTACCTTACGGAGGCACCCTAGGCCTTCCTGACGAGGAAACCCTGAGCCTACCTGACGAGGGCACCCTAAGCCTACCGGAGGAGCGGACAAGACCGACGGCGAGGTTGTGTTAGGACCCGTGCATGTTGGACGTGCACAAAGTTCACTGTCATCAATCGTGGAGTATCAACACAGGCATACAGTGGTGACTGAACTGTACTAGTGGATTGTTTTATTTCCCCAAGATTTAGAAGTTTGAACTTTGTGTGATGATATTCTTGATTCCTGGGACCCAGAGCGAGTTTTTCAATTAATTAACCGTGCCAAATCTAGAACAATTTCGTGGAGTATTAGGACTGTAGCAGAGGTGATTGCATTATTTCTTGGAGTATTTGAACGTTAGACGTGTATTGGTTTACTTTTTCAGGAACAGGAACTTTCAACAGTTATAAGTGACATTTCAGGAGGCAAATGCAAGCAAGTAATTAGTTAATTAGTAATACCAATGTGTGTTATTGTTAGACTGATTTAGTACATAGATGTTATTTTTAGCTGCTATGTTAGATTGAAAAAATGGCATATACTTATGTTATGGTTGGAGCTGGAGAATACGAAGTAGACACATTTTATGGGGACAGGGACCGCTGTTTAGATTTTTGTGAAGAAATAAAACAAGTATGGGCGTGTCGACCGATGACAAAAGAGGAGAAACTTCGACTAATACTTAGAAGTGTCGGAGAATTGGTTAGGGCTGAAATTCGATGTCATGACATACAGGTACAGAAAGATCCAGAGGCGGTACTTGAGTTGATCGCCGCGACGTTTGGGGACAATAGGTCGGGTGCACAGTTAATGCAGATATTTTGTGCATGTAAACAAAATCCCGGTGAAGGGGTGAGGGAGTTTTCACATAGGTTAAAGAAAGCATTCGACTCTGTTCAGTTAAAGCTACCGTCAGTGGATGCTACTTTATTAAGGGATCAGTTTATAGAGGGCCTAGCTAACCGTACGTTGACGCGGCAGCTTAGAGAAGAAGTACATAGAAACCCTCTTCTACGATTCATTGATATACGAAACATGGCCTTGCGGTGGTATGATGACGTCATGACTACCGAGTTGATAGATTCACCGAGGCCTTCAGATAACCAGCAACATGAGACAAATGCCGATGTCCGTAGTCCTGTAGAGTCCATGTTGCCCAAGCTTTTCAATACATGGCAGTCATTAGAGCACAGGCTAACACGTATAGAAGCAGGTGTAGAAAGAGGGAACGCTACTGATACGGGGGTCAATCGCCTGGAACGGCCTGTGGTGACCAGGGTACCACCGCTAGTGGTCGGAGATGGCAGACCACATTGTTTGATTTGCTCAGTACCTGGACACACCACTAGACAATGCCGACACAACTGGAGGAACCAGGGTTATGACCGGCAAGTTGATGCTAGGGTCAGGTATCAGGGCGTGTCACAATGGCAGAGGAAGCTAAACGACAGAAATGATAGGATGGCTCGCGCAGGTAGCGACCTAAAACTGAACAGTCATGAAATTAGGGATAGGTCTAGAAGTAGGAAAGAGGAACTAGTCAGTGGAGATACTAGGGATAGGGTCGCTAATCAAGTGGTGAATAGCGCCCATCACGTTCAAGGTACTATTAGAGTAGTTGTAGATAAGATAGAGTGTAGTGTGAGAAAATGTCCACTTAAGCAGTGCATTCAGGGGACAATAGAGCTAGGAATAAAAAGGCTTTACGAAAACCATGGTATAGGGAAAAGATGAGTAGGAATTCAAACCGTTCACATGGGTGTAAAATAAATGCCGGTAAAGAAAAGGCCTGTCAGGTTGAGGATGTAGTAGAACAGCTAGGTAAAATAGCCGATCTATTAGCTAACACATTAGAAAAATGGAGGGGAGGAATGGGACATTTCAAATACAAAATCTAACTCGTTTAAAGGGTTAAGCAGTGTTCGAAACATCAAGGAATTTCGTCTGTGTGTGTTAGACGAGAATATGTGTGAAGGAAGGATGAAAGTAAGAGACTAATATGGTAGGAAATTGTCCAAGGTTTTCTTTATTATATTGTATGTCATGAGATATGAAAGGATGTAATTGATAATTGTTTTTGTAGATAATTTTGATGGGATGTTTGGGCTTCGGTGTGGTCACCGAAGAAAGTGGGAGGGGGAGGATGTAACTAGGATAAGTTACGACAACAGTGGCCCTGCTGTTTTAGGGGTGGGGACAGCGCGACGCGACGTATCACCTATACCCACGTGTCGACCGGGCGTGGCCAGAGTGACCATAATTGCTGTGGCCCCCAGAAAGACGATCGCTGACAGCATTGTACTGGACAAGCTGTTAAATTGAACACAAAGGCATGCTCGCGGACTACAGGACGGCTGACAGTTTACGACACGATAAACTCTCCGAAACTGACCGGAGCGTGACAATAGGCCAGGAATAGCAGGAACAGGTAACCTACGGGGAAGACGAACTGACACTTTTACAGCTAGGGTATGACCTGACCTTCAGGAACATTCTTAGATTCTAGTGGTAGCGTATATATACGGACATCGACACAAGACCGGCCCTTTTAACCAGAAGCTACACGAGAGACGGGAGACTAGACTTTGGTCGTGGTACTAGTTGTAAATCCAGACCAAGATAGAAGGAACCAGTACCGACGTGTTTACTGTTTACCGGACTTAGGGGTGAGTAAGATTGTGTTTAGCTGTCATTGTTAGTGGATATATTGTGAATGGTGTGTATGAATGGTGTATGTTGTGCGTTGTTAGTTGATACTTTGGGATGTGGAGTATGAATGTAAGTTGTTAGGTTAATAGGTTGTTGAAGTGAAAGACTAGATGATTGTGAGGATTAATTGTTATTTATTGTTTATTTCTCTACAGACTTTGGAGGTCTGTTGGGTTTTTCGTTTTAGTTTGATGTTATTTGTCAATAAAAGATCGAACCTACCATTGAGTAGAAGACAAAAGTGTTTACTTCATTGGTTACATATATATATATATATATATATATATATATATATATATATATATATATATATATATATATATATATATATATATATATATATATATATATATATATATATATAATTGAATATAGATCGATAGACGGATAGATAGACATACAGACCGACAGGCAGACACAAAAGATAGATGTGTTGGCTTTTGTATATAAAATAGAAACTGATAGATATGTATTATTATTGATATATCTATAATTAAAGTGGAAATTTCTTTTAGAATATTCAGACAAGTATGGTTTTTAAACAACTCACCAATAAAACATACATAATGTATTGTGTTAGATACGACATGGATCTAACTAGTGAGCTAATTTTTTTTATTGTTTTTTACCTCATAGTCATTCCACTTCCCCCCCTCCCTCTCTACCAATTTACTAATGATTTACGATGGTTAAAATATATATTTCATATTTAATTTTAATATTGCGTTCTATATTGACAGTTGATGGGAAAGGGGGGGGGGGCGTGAAATACCCCCATCACATATTGAGAAATTATTCTTTCGTAAGGGGAGGTAACCAAGCTTGGTTGATGCTGTCGATAATTTTAATAGAGTTGTCGCGCTTCCCATAGAGAATAAATAATAATATACATGTTGTTGCTCCTGTTATCTTGATGACGGTATGTTCCTAGGGGAACAGCGGGGTGGGGAATAGGAAGTGGGGGGGAGGGGGGAGGGGGGATCGAACAAAAATGTGTATTGAGAATATTTGGATGGTTCAGGGGGACGGCAAAATCTTGTGACAATGTGTAACAAGTGGGTGGCAAATTTTGGCATTGTACAAATTTTTTATCCTTTTATTCTCTGATCTTACAAATCCACTTTCCGACAGACAAACGTGTAGGACCCCCAAGCGGATGACTATCACTGTTACTTTGTCCTCGTAATCGTGCATGTACGTTAAGTTTATTATTTTCTCTAATTCACACAACCGTTACAATTTATTCTGAGATCTCTTCTGACAGTTACAGATTACAAGTGACATGCTGTAATATAGCAGCATCTCCTCAAATCTCACTGTCTACAACTTTCCAAACATCTAGACAAACATGGTGATATTTTGTATAAACATTGTGATATTTTGTACAAACATGGTGATATTTTGTACAAACATGGTGATATTTTGTACAAACATATTTTGTACAAACGATATTTTGTACAAAAATGTTGATATTTTGTACAAACCTGATATTTTGTACAAAAATGTTCTTTTGTACAAACATGTTATTTTGTACAAACATATTTTGTACAAACACTTTGCACAAACATGGTGATATTTTGTCATCATATCCAAAGATGAAACTTTTCTGGTGAATCTCCCTATCATTAGTAATATAATGGCTGACTACCAACAAGTACACAATGTAGAATTCGCAGCTAAGGTTTCTCTGAAACTTGACATTTTTTACATGTACACAATGAATTGTTAGTTTCATTATTGACTTAATACTGAAAGTTGCAAAACTTGTGAAGTGGCGTTCTCTAAACGTAAGATATTGATCAGACACTTGAGTACCAGGAACAATCTTGTCTCTCAAGACTTTTTGCTGGTGATCCAAGCTGAAATGTTACTTACACAAATGTTTTTTAAAATCTAAAATAGCATGCCAATTATGGTATTGATGATGTACAAAATTGCTGTTGAAATTAGTTAGAGGACTAAAATTGTTGTGGGTTGGTTACTTCGCACAATACTATCTGCTAAAAGTATTGGTATACAACTGTACACAATATCACTGTCTTATATAGGCATACAAAAGTACACATCACCACCATGCAACAAGGTGAGGACCGTTGGTCACTATTCAAACAACCAACCAATTACCTTAAAAGTAAATCTATTTCCTTTACCCATCGGTTTTCTCTAAATTTCCATTTGTTAAAATTTATTTTATTTCAACTGTTTACCAGAACCATACTCAGTTTTTTGTTAATTATTTTCACCTAGAAAAAACACATTACCCATTATCCTTTTTCACCAGGCAACAATAGGCCTTTTAGTAATTAAAAGTAAGTAAAGTTTCCCTTTCAAACCTGACGGTCTATGGGGCAAGTGAAGTAGAGTTCACTTGTTTCTGTGACCTCAGCATATGAAGGGATAGTGTGGTCAGCACTATGCCCAGCCGCCTTTACTTTCCCTAACGTGAGTTAGGTACCCATTAGAGTTGGGTGGACTCAGGGACGGTCTACTGACTTGAACCCGGATTCGAACTCGAGACTTACGGGTTAGCAGTCCAGCTCTCTACCGCTAGGCCACTCCCGTCCCATTTTAGTAATTAGTAAGAATTAAAAACTATTGTGGCGTATTAAAATGTATTACACAAACCTAAAGACTGCCTGTAACTAGAACTTAGTCGGAGGAACAATTGTTCTGTTTAAACATTGTACAGCACTAGATCATAGACCTAACACTTTAGTAACTCACAGACAAAGAATATTAGAATTTAAAAAAAAAACACTACACAGAAGAATACGACATGATGACATGTAATGTAATTGAGAAATAAATGCAAATTTAAAACCATTCAAAACGAAATAACTTCTATACAATAATCTCCGATCTTTGTGCTTTTCTGCTGTTCTTCAAATTTTCTGTTCAGCTCTGCTAACATTCCTTGTAAAGCTTTACACTCTTGTTGCCAATGGGCCTGTAAAAATAATCAATATGTAATTACAATCTTAATATAAGTGATCAATCAGTTTATTAGATGTTTTACAGTTAAAGCATTAATTTAGATAAGTATAACTACACTAACATGGTAAAAATCTAGTTTAATCATTGACATTAGGTACTGGTAGGGTATCAAGTGGCAGTCAACCTACCATGTGAGTGATCTGTTGATGTAGAGATACAATAACCTCATCAGCATCCTCCGCCAACTTGAGCTGCTGAAAATGGCTGTCAATGAGCGCATTCAGCCAATGTATAACCTGTGTGAATCAGAGGAAAAATACAATGGTATTGCCATGTTGGATGAGTGGAAACAGGTGGATTGTGTTACAGTTAATGGTTAAAACATTGTGTCCATGCATGCATAGCAATGATGACCTTTATTTTTACCAATAAGAAAATTATGATTATGAGGGGTTACATTGTTTTAGCCACCTGCATTATGTGTTGGCTTCTCAGGCTTGTGTGTGTGTATTAACGACTCAATCCCTTGTACATGTTAGCCATTCAATCCCTTATACATGTTAGCCACTCAATCCCTTGTACATGTTAGCCATTCAATCCCTTATACATGTTAGCCACTCAATCCCTTGTACATGTTAGCCACTCAATCCCTTGTACATGTTAGCCACTCAATCCCTTGTACATGTTAGCCAATCTCCCTTATGCTTTAAGCACATTTTGTTCAGTTTAAAAAGGTTACTCCACTTTTCATCCACCATAATTTTTTTTTAAAGTATGTTTTAAACCTTACTCACAAATAAGTATAAGCACCAGAAAAGGGGGGAAAATTTCTTACAATACCTGTTCTAGTGAAGGGATGGGCTGGTCATCTTCCTGAACAGATGACCACATCAGAAGGAACTGTAAGTACTGGATCAAAATCTAGAGGACAAAGATTTTGATATAATGGATTTGTAGCAAAGTTAAACAAATCAACAGCATTCTTTACACTTTGATTAGACATAGTTGAACTATACAGCCACATATTTAGAGTTTGATTCTTACCAAAACACTGTCAAAGGACATGGCTCTGACTTCTTCTTGCAAGAACTGGGGACTGAACTTTCTACTCATCATTCCATTTCTTGGATTAGTTAAAGAAATTAATGGTGACAAAAACACCACAGAAAAAATCAATAAATATAATATTTTTTTACATTTAAACAGTGCATGAATCTAAAAACAACATAACTAAAACATTCTGAAAGTGTGTATTAAATCAAATGGGGTACAAGGTAAACAAAATGTTTGTGAAAAAGGGATACAAGATGAAGCATTTTCTGTTGGTGAAAGGGGACTTGACACTGTGTTGAGCCCAGGGTACCCCAGCTTCAATATCAGCTTCCTGCAAGTCTTTAGTTCCCTCTTCTATCTGCTGCTCATTCAACCTGGAGAACAAAATCTTTAAATGCACGCCGATATAATAAGAGAAATAATTAAACTATTTCGACTGCTTGGTGCATTTTAATTAAACAAATTTAAACGCAAGAAATAAAACTGGGACTTACAAATCAGGTAAATTTCAAAAATATATTCAAAAATGAGATATTACTTACTGAAGAATCCAATCAACACTTTTAATAATACAGGCCTCTGAAAAGTCATCTAAATTCTGTGGTAGCCGAAGCAGTTTAGATAAATCACCATCCTGTATACAACACTCCACAGCTTGCTTGTCATTTCTGTAATGCATGAGCATAAAAAAATTCTGGTGTTATATGATTGAATGTATTAAAATTTAAAATGTTAAGCATAATAAACAATCTTCACAAACAATGAAGGTAATAATATCCAACAGAATCTATAATTTGAACAAAACATTGTATGAAATTTGAAAAAAAAATTATTACAACTTATGAGCTGTGTTTTACTAATTATTGCTGCTGTTCTAGTCATTTTTACTATTTTTTTAATCATTTGTACTAGGCCTAGATCTTATTGTTTGCACAAATCCTATGCAAGTTTTTACTTCTGTGTTTCTAGAAAAAACATTAAATTAATTAGGCTACTAAAAAAAGTACTAGGCCTACACTTGACTTTATTATTATTATTTAGATCTAATTATTCAGATATACTAGATCTAGATCTATTTTTTTTTCTTATGTCGATTAAACTTAAAATTAAGCTAAAACATCTAAAACATGCTCTCCACGCATGCGCAACAGACCATACTGCTATCACCCCCACCCCCCACCAATCTGTTGAGCTGTGATTTGCGCTGAATGTTTACAATCATAGAGCCAGGTCGAATTAGTGACAGCTCTTAGGAGCAGATAACTTAGTTTTTAACTATTTGAAACTGAATGGGAGGTAACAAGTTGTGCTTGATATTTTCATTATCTTCTGTAAACTGTCGTCATGGATGGCTGCTTTCAACTAAATAGCAGCGTATGCTACGCCATGGGTCAGCTCGTTATAATTAATTTAGTTAGTCCTAACAACTTAATCATATTTCAATCGTCAAATAAACCATGGTTTAGTTTACCAGTTCAGTTTCTAATGTTTACAAAAGTCAACAAACATTACCAGATAATTGCTGACACTAGACCTACTGGAAGATTTTCTAAATAATAAATAAATAAGCCTATGGATGTCTATTATTCAGTGATCATGTTAAATTTGAAAATTGAGTAAATTAGCCTTATAGATTTAGTGAGCATATACTCTACTCATAATACTGACTCTAACTCTACCAACACTGTCTTCAGTACCTAATATTACTAAGTTTTAAGTTTTAACTAACTAGTAGTAGTATTATGCACTAGATCTAGCATTGCTCGCTAGCCTGGGTGCATGACCTGTTGCTAACAACCATATGGCATACACACCAGATGTATTACTTCCGACGATTTTTTGTCTCAGTTCCAGTGACCTTCTTAGAATTACTGTTTAAAATGTTTGCCACGCACAAAATAGTGGGGTTTTCACATTATAAAACAAAACATAGGTGGCAGGGTTATATATTTGCCAGAAAAGCTTTTTAAAATTTGGTTTGGTGAATGAAGGCTAAATTCAAAAGTTGGTTTCATTAAAATTGATATAACTTTAAAAATATCAATGGTGTAAGTACAAAAATAAGCAAGTAAGTAAAGCATTTTCAGTTTTATCAGTCTATGAAAAAAGCAAATATTGTGAGCTGTTTTTTTATAAGGCGGATGCTCATATCACAAATAATTTTTTTTAATTTAAAAAACCATGTGACCCCTATTTGGTTGATCACTAGTGAGGAACTCTGGTGCAAAGTCAATTAAAAAGTCGAGCTGATTCTTGGTTTGCTGTGGCCTCAAACGCAAGAGTGATATAACATGGGTTGTTATGGAAGGGTGTGTCGTGTCATAGCTGTGAGTGACAATGAATATTAAATTAAGTAATTTAGTTTAAAATAAACTAAAACCTCAAAATTAGTGCCTAAATATGGATGTCTATTATTCAGGGAAGTGGCTATTCCAACCCAGGTCCTAACAGCCGCGGCCAATATTAGGACCAGGGTCCCTATAGCCATGGCCACTATTCTGACTCGGCATTAAGTTTGTTACACACTTGTACAACCTGTATTAAAATTATACCTTTTATGTTTATTTGATTTTTCTTGTGGATTTGCTAGTATTTTGTTGTGTTTTATTGTAATTAGTTATGCGGATATGCTAGCATTAGTTCTTGTGTTGTTTAGTTATATCTAAATATCCTCTATTAAGCTCTATAAACAAAATCATTAACTATTTAGAAATTCTCGTAAGACGTCGTGGCCGAGTGGAGAACGTCGTGCCTCCCAATTCTTGATCAGTTGCTGTATTGGAACCAATCTAAGCTATCCTATTGCGAGAAGTAAAGAGCATTTAACAAAGTTTAATGTTCAGTTTTGATTATTGATTTATTTGCATAGGTGTTTTTTTTTAATTGATTTTTATAGATTATATATCTTATCTAGATTAAGGTTTTTAAACACTCCAATTATAAACATCGTTGCTCCATTGATCGCCCGCTCACGTTTTCTCGTCAGCGTGCGAAAAATACAGACACGGTCTAGCTAGGGTCACTGTGAGTTCACTTTGACTTTGGTTTAGATGTGAATAGTGTAGGTGTATAGCACACGTCATAGCAAGACCATTGCTTATGAGCGTGTCATCCCCCTCCCCTCCCCAAACCCAGCAAGAGGAAAAACGGATTTGGGGTCATTGTAAATTCATATGTTAAAGGCCTATATTGCTTTTATTAAAGCAAACTACAATGCATGATGCGAGATATTAGTGTTCAAGCCCGTGAGCTGTTGACTGAAGCCTATAATGAGCTATTTTATACAATTATTATTTTTTTTTTGTATTTGGACTGATAGGCCTATAAAATCAAATTACGTTCAACAGAAGAAAAAAAAAAATAACGCACATTTTGCATGTGCGCTCAACATTCGCTCTGTCAGAGAAGTTCATACCATAGGCCATATAACTAATTAAGCTCCAAATGAGTTTATCATCAACAAATTATTAAGTATTTGATAGATTTAAGATTGATCTTTAGTTTTCATTAGTAATGTATAAGTCGAAAAATAACGAAATTTATAAGTTAGTGAGCCTCGCTACAGTACTTTACTTACACTAAAAAGTTAAAGTTAGGCCTTTACTTGGTAATCTATCGTTTTGGGTACGTAAAATCGCCCACGGCTAGTAATGTACGAAAAAGTTACCTCATTGTCAAGGCTTTAATAGAAGTATATTTTGATATATTTGTGTCAAATATTATAGATAAATGAATAAATAACCTAAATCAATAGCTAAATATATCAATATAGGCAAGAAATTAACTTTTAACAGCAGTGTTTGCGAGCAGGATTTGCTATATAAACAGCAGCCATTTGTAAAATAGAGTTGCCTTCCCCTGATCTCGCGCTATAAGTTAACAAAGAAAGAACTTAAACAAGATGGCTGCTATAGTAAATGAGCATGGTTGCATCTGTTGGAAACATCGATAGTATTCATTTATTATTGAAAAGTTTTAATTCAATTGTTTGAAAACAGGTACATAAATGAAACAAGGAAACATTTTTGTATTTTTCAAAACACAAATCCTCCTCAAAATGTGAAATAATTATTAAAATTTAAGGAGTCACCTGTTTTTCACATTACTAGAGGAGTTTACACTTTTCGGACACACACCAAAAATTACGTAGGACCGAACACTTCGTCGGTTTTTGGCTCATAGAAACTTTAATTAGCATGTCTCACGCGAAACCACGGCGCCTGCACGTAAACTGTTGATTTATGAACACTTCCGTGTCAAGTACTTCCGTTTCCTTTCTCAAGAATTATTTTTAGAAATTTTTTAACGTTGCATGGTACGCACATTTCTATTTTTACACCAGCCGGATGAAGTGACCTAGGGTTGGACTTAGGGGCAAAACTTGAACCAATCAATGCTTAGCTAAAAGGTTACACTATAAATAGCTTCTATATATGTATGGAGCATCGTAAATGTCAAGGTTAATGGGTTTTTTCGTGCTTGAACAATAAAAAAGGGGTGTTCGCTAACTTTTTTGACCTTACATGGGATCGGACAGCAACACAAAAATATTATTAAATAAGAATTTAGAGCATAAAAGGGGCTGGTTATTGAAGGGAAAGGGTCAAAATAAGGTCAAGAAGGCAGTGGAATGCGAAAGAGGAGGGGGAATCATGTGACCTGGCTGGCTTAGCAGCGTACTGCGCGAGCCGCAATGGCTGAATGGGATGAACTTTGGGAGTGTGGGAAAAAGGTTTTATACTATTAAAATTACCTCACAAACAATCAATAACACAATATAAATGCATATAATATATGTTTTTATTCATTAAATTGACTTTAAATTATTCTAAATGAACAAAAAGTGCTATGTCCGATGACGGGTAAAGGTGTCCGAACACATGTAAAACTGTATTACATGTGTTCGAACACACGTTAAGACCCCCCAGTCACTATAACAAGAATAGCTTAAGTTCTATGCGTATGAATACAAAATGACACACACATTATTAAAGTAGAATGGTTGCGGATAGATATGATACTTTTTTTTGTTTTCTATGTTAAGCGGTTACTGAATGAGACCGCATGGAATTTTTACGTTGCGTTTTTTCGCTATGTGTGTCCGAAAAGTGTAAGCTCCTCTAGTCGCAGGCGATTTTACGTACCCAAAACGATAGATTACCCTTTACTTTTACTAAAAAACTAGATTCTAGTTTCTAGAGTCAGAGAATTCTCATAGACTCTATGAGAATTCTCTGACTCTATGATAGAGATTCTAGATCTATAACTTAACTACAACTCTTTATAGCTTCTATCTATCATTTCAAAAATAGCTAGTCTAGCTGATAACATGATAAACCCAGAGACTTACACAGACATGATGAAAATATGTGGGTTTTAACTGTGAGACGAGATTTTTAAACATCGAGTGACTAGCAGCATGTTATAAAAGTAGATTCAGAATTTGGTCTGTGTTAAGGTATTGCCAGATCAAATCAATGAAATGTGACCAAACGATGAACAGCCATGCCAAACTGTCAGAAAATTATATGTAACATTAAAACGGGATCCGGACAAAAGGCCGACATGGACACAAGGCCGCCACGGACAAAAGGCCGACAAGACAAAAAGCCGACAGCTAAAAGGCCGACATCCAATAGGCCGAAAAGACAAAAGGCCGACAAGTTTAATAAAACAACAACCTACAAGTATAGACATGTTTATTTTTTATTGAAAACCATTTACATAGTGATAAAGGTATATTATACAACATGTAGGCATACTTGTATTTTGTTTATTAATATCAAATTTAGTGTTTCTTTTTAACAAGAAACAAACAAAAATACAGTCAAATCACGTGATCGTTCTACTTCATTCGGTTTCTTTGATTTCTTTGCGAAATATATATATATGGTGGTAACACCACCTATCTGTTTATCCTTTGTACACTCCCGTCATCTCCAGTCGCATGGACCCCATTGTTCACCTTATAATATAAGGATAGCAACTAGTATTGTCTTATTGCTTGTGGGCGAAGAGCGGCGGCTTTTGACTTGGTTCTTTGATGGTTGTCTCACCTCGTTGATATAGAAGGGGCTATAAAAGACAGTAGTGACCACATTTCGCAATATTTAGGTGTAGATACTTTGTGTTTAAGACACTCCCGTAATCTTCAGCCGCTTGGACCTGATGGTTCACCTTATAATGATAGCAACTAGCATCATATCTTCTCTTGAACGTTTCACCTTATTTTGATGGTTGTCAAACTAGCTCACCCGTCGAATGTCGCAGCGGTCTAAGAAGAGATTTCGACTCATTAAAACTCGAGTTATAGGCCTATATGAAGTAAAGTTCACCCTTTTCTGTGACCTCGGCATAAGAAGGAATAGTGTGGTCAGCACTATGCCCATCCAACTTTACATGACTTAAGTACCCTTCAGAGCTGAGATCAGAGAATGGACTCATGAACGTTGTACTGATTTGAAAGAGGATTCTCCAGACTTTCAGGTCTAGGCCACGCCATCCCAGTTTTCTACATATATATAAATATATATATATTTGTGTGTATGTATATAAATGGTAGATATGTCAACCAGAAAAGTGCATAACCAGATGACACTCAATAGCTAGGAGAGAAAACTCCAAAATCAAACTGGAAATGAGCTCCTTAGGCAATAAGAACCTCAGGAACATCATATATATATATATATATATATATATATATATATATATATATATATATATATATATATATATATATATACATATATATATATCTAATCTATGGAAATATATATCTAATCTAATCTAATCTATCTAATCTAATCTATCTATCTAATCTATCTATCTAATCTATCTATCTAATCTAATCTATCTATCTATCTAATCTATCTATCTAATCTATCTATCTAATCTATCTATCTAATCTATCTATCTATCTATCTATCTATCTATCTATCTATCTATCTATCTATCTATCTATCTATCTATCTATCTATCTATCTATCTATCTATCTATCTATCTATCTATCTATCTATCTATCTATCTATCTATCTATCTATCTATCTATCTATCTATCTATCTATCTATCTATCTATCTATCTATCTATCTATCTATCTATCTATCTATCTATCTATCTATCTATCTATCTATCTATCTATCTATCTATCTATCTATCTATCTATCTATCTATCTATCTATCTATCTATCTATCTATCTATCTATCTATCTATCTATCTATCTATCTATCTATCTATCTATCTATCTATCTATCTATCTATCTATCTATCTATCTATCTATCTATCTATCTATCTATCTATCTATCTATCTATCTATCTATCTATCTATCTATCTATCTATCTATCTATCTATCTATCTATCTATCTATCTATCTATCTATCTATCTATCTATCTATCTATCTATCTATCTATCTATCTATCTATCTATCTATCTATCTATCTATCTATCTATCTATCTATCTATCTATCTATCTATCTATCTATCTATCTATCTATCTATCTATCTATCTATCTATCTATCTATCTATCTATCTATCTATCTATCTATCTATCTATCTATCTATCTATCTATCTATCCATCTATCTATCTATCTATCATGATGCGAGTTTGGGATGAGACAAACAATGACAATCCAATATTCAATATAAATCACTGAACAGGACTGCATTAATTCACTCAATCGTTTATTGCACTGGCTAAATACATAATAGATATGGAAGGCCACTTTAACAACTTTACAAAACCTACATGCATGACGACGGACAAATATTTCTACAACCTGGCACGACATGACGAAGATTATCTCATCTATTTCCCCTAGCACTAAGATCATACTCTCACTCAAACATCACATCCTTTGTCGCACTGTCACAACATTTTATTAATCTAAATCATTCCCCCAACATACATACTCTCATACCTTTGCAATACCTAAGATAACATTCATAACACTACCCAACTATCTAAATATTTTTCTATTTATATATTATGTATTTATTCATTTATACCTATGTGTATGTTTATGTGTAAATAAACAAGATTATGAAATTACCAGTAAATTATTATTTTATAATTGCTAAATATGTATATGTTCACAATATATTGCTAAAAAAATGTAATAAAGGACATTAATTTTGTAGTGTAAAACATAATCAGCCAATACAATCATTGCACAAAGATAAATCACATTTTTGTCTACTGCAAACATATTTAATTTACACCACTATCTGATAACACTATTAATAGGTATAACTTTTACTTAAAAACATCAATAATTTATGTATATTTCTGTTAGTCGAATATTTATTCAAATAAAACGTATTTAGATTTGAAGTAAAATGACACTGCTGAATCTGGTGGTCTTTCGGCTAATGTAGAAGAACTCACATGTTTGTGTCTTAAGCATTGGAAGGGATTGTGTGGTCAGCACTATCCCTAGCTGCTTTTACTTTCCCTAATGTGTGTCAGGTGCCCACCAGAGCGAGGTGGACTCACTGATGTCCTACAGACTTCAGCCTACAACCAAAACACCACCAAATGACCACACCATCCCTTAACACTAACTGAAAAATTACATCATTTAAATTTTTAATTTGGAAGGGTAGAACTATAGACAATTCGTTTATGGCGTTTTCTTATCTGCCATCTTGAGAGGCTCTGGATGGGAGACACTACACTACTAACTCCACACAAGGAACAAGAAAATATAGACAAACAAGAATTTAAATCATTTTTAGTGGCTATCTTCAGTATAAGAGTTTGGTAAAAACTAAGGCACAAGATGACAGATGAAAAAATATTAGATTAAGTAAAAAAGACAATGAAGAATTTAGTTTCTTTTCTAATCCCAGAAAAAAAAAGTCTGGATTACAAAAACTATCTGAAACATCACCCTTGCTTGTAGACACATTTGCTAATAATAGCATATCTGAACAATAAAATTGTCTTTTGAGTGATTTCAACCACAATCAATCATTAGTCAACCATACACTTAGTCTAGAGACAACACATGTATACGCTTAACCTGCTAACTTGCTCATAGAAAAGAAATCCTGGCAACTTAAGATCACAGATTACCAGTGATCGAAGTATTTTGTGAGAACAGTAACAGAATGTAGTGCTTGCATTATATTCAACCCCCAAATGGAGGACCAGGGTGCTAGCTTTTGTCAGACCCATGCAGATCTCCCCAGCTTGGTTGAACCTGCCAGGAGTTTAAACTCCCGCTGGTATAACTCTGGGGGTCGTCAGGGTACACAAGCTGCCAAGCCACGACAAGGTTCTAGCATTAGATGGCAGTGGGGTTGAAACCTTACAAACATGCATGTAGGCCGCAAACCTGACCCATCTGCCAGTAGGCCCCTTTACTATGTCAGGGTAGGTTCTAGACAGGGGTAGCACAGCTAGCACCATTGGCTTGGGTGGTTCCTGCGTTGACATTAGTAGTCTCCCTGTATACGTCAATTATGCTTTGAAAATGTGGATTTTCAATTATATCGTTTCTTTCTAATTCACCTAATAGGTCAGTGAAAGTTTCAATAAATTTTTCAGTATCTTGGGTACCTTCCAAATTCCACCACTCCACTAATGTGTCTATGTCACTCAGTGAAATGTCTTTGCAATTTGACACAAAATTTTGTCTCTTAAACTGTAACCACAAGTTATTTGTTGGGGATAACCGTAAAAACAGTAAGTCAAAATCCTGGCGTGTGAGATTATTTGTGAGGAAATAGGAAAGTATGTTAAAGATCTGTCTGGGAGAGCTCTTCTCTTGCAGAAGATCATGTTCCAGTAGAGTGTCTGTTTCATTTTCCAAAAGATCATTCCGCTTCATGTACTTCAATGTTTTTTTAAAAATACTTTGGTAATCAAGCCCAGGATTTTTTAATGCCCATTTTTGGCAGGTTGAAATTAAAGCATTTATTGCGTCTCCAAGGGTGTCGTTTATCTTAAAAGAATATTCATTGGGAGCAATAAAACTACCACTGGGGTCAGGTAATATGCGGAGAAATATTTGACCTTCACAAATACCCATTCTATTGAAATATTTGAAAACATCTCTATAGTGAAGTGTAGGTGGATCCACTGGAATCTCAGTAAGGCCAACTGTTTCTGCTGTGTTATTATTATTGACAGGTTCTGTGTTTAAAAAAGTTGACCGGCATTTAAATATTTTACGTCTGAAAATAATAAATAAGATGGATCCGTTTAAAAAAATCGCTATTAAACATAAAACTATTATAGCTATTTCATGTCCTAATATATCACTGCTATTGTTTTTACTATGGTCTATTCTAGCGGTTGTTGAGCTGCTAGCAGCTGATGTGGTTGTTGTTTTTTCTGTTGTAGTTTGAACTGTGGGATGAGCTGGCCAACAGTCCTTTTCACCACCAGGGTACGGATGTTCATATCCTGCTTCACATTGCCACACATGGTCTTTTGTTGCTGTCCCATTTGAAATTAATTCCCAGTGATCTGACGTAGATTTCTGTGTCCAAGGTTTACATGAAAGATAACGATGTAATTTTTCCTCTCTGAAAAAGCTACAAAAAAGAAAGAAATTAAATTTAGAACATCTACATTGAATTTGAATGGTATCATTGAAAGATTAAACAAAAAGTTCACCCCAATGCAGGTGGACACATAGGAATAAGCAAAGGTGGTGACATGGTCAAATAAAGATGTTGACAAAACAAGAAACGAATACACCAATAATCATGGCATATGTGGGCGGGGAGGATTATTTGGATATCATTAAAGTTTGACCACATGTAATTAATAGATTATTTTTTTATTATCTGAATTAAACAAGGTGAACATAAAATTATTTCAGAAACTTGAGTTAACTTTACATATTTGTGTCATGTATGTTATGCACATTTGTCAACTGACAGATTTACAGAAAATGCATGTTACTAATAACATATTTCACAAAATACATGAATGATTTAAGACTAAGATGCTATAACTTTATTTAATCTTGTATCCAAATATTTCTTTAATCTAAATATTTTTAAAGCATGACAATTGATTACTGGTTTAATCTCATTACCCATAGTTACAAGGCAGACAAGTGGCACCATTACAGTATTCTCCTTCTTCACAATGTGTAGTACATTTCAGCTGATCAAGAGATACTGTAATTCCTATCTTGTACATGAGCAAGAAAAACAACAAAACTTCCATTTTCTGAAACAAACACAATCAATATCTTCACAAAATGTAACTCTATATATATTTTTTAATCATTTGAGTCATTCATGTTTTAAGTTTCTCTTATGCAATAAAAACAGTTTTCCTATTTAAAAAGTGGATTACTGTTAAAGAAGAAAGTTAGAAGAATTTTGTTCAATATATTTGTATAACATAAGAAGCTACTTGTCTGGTAATTCTAGATCTTTCTTCTCTTCTTCTTCGTTCTTAATTATTAGTGTTGAAGGGGATCGAGATTTATCTGCCAGTGCGTTTGAACTCGAGACTTTGTTCGAATTTATCAACCATGAGCTTTTTGCCAACTCAACCACGCCTCCAACACAATTAAGCGTTACGTGTCAACTGGTTATGCGCCATTGAGGCCATTGAGTCCGATTTCAGCCTGCTTTTCTTTTTGGATTTGCTTCCATAGCCTTTGTCCAACCAAGAACAAACTACAAGGCAGCAGTTGTTTAATTAACACGTTTTTCTTAACTCGGCGTCGCGTTTGTTTGTGGGTTTGTTGTTAAAATTGACAACGAAAATTAGCCCACTTCTGATTGCTCTAGACATCTGAAATTCGGCATGCAGGCTATTTTCGCCTAACAATTTCAGATGCAATCATAAAAACTAGCAATTAGAGACCTAAATTAGCTTAATTAAATTACGCCCCAAGGACCATAAAATTGAGGACATGGTTTCTAAAGCAAAAATAAATTATCAATCCAGATTTATCAAAACAAAATTAAGAGGTTTTATCAGTGGCGGAGTGGTCTAGCGGTAGAGAGTTGGACTGCTAACCCAGATGGGTCAGGAAATTTGATGGTGAACGTACCCACGTTTTTTGTCGTCAAATCAAGAACCTGCACAGTTCGATGAAGCACAAAATCTACGAGCAGTCATTGGTAGATCCCCTAGGGTCGGAAGAAAAAATTATTTTCTACTTTTTAGTCCACAAGAAAAACGTGTTTTTTTTAAAAGTTTTTTTTAAGTATTTTATTTTGGAGTTGTCTCTCCTAGAAGAGTGGCTGTCCCCAGCTAACGAGCCTCATCTGCCCGAGGGTTCGAACTCGAGATTTCTCGGTTTAGCAACCATGAGCTTTACCGACTCAATCATGCCGACCCCTAATTCTAAATAAAAATCTCAAATTGTCATGTTACTCTACCAAGATGTAGAAGTTTAGATTTAGGCATATTTCATGACATCACAAGCTTATTTTTACTTATTTTTAAATTATTTAAAAGTTGTTGTAGATTTCCTTGGATTAGGGATGGGGTTAGGGTTGAATATTATGAATTTGGTAAATAGTATACAGCTAACAACTACCACTTTTTTTACCTCCTTTACTTATAATCTTTTAGACAAGTTCATTATATATTCTATACCATCATTTCATGGTTGTATTAAAAAGTACCCCACCATCATTGGTCTATTATAAATGCCAAATGGGTCATTAGAAGGTTTTACATAGCTAATTAATGTGAAGGTGTTAAGATTGTTCATTAGCAGCATTATATTTATAGTTTACAAGTGGAGCAAATAAAAACTTCGGATTTTCAGAGTTACACTTACTACTCCCTCCCCCCTTTCAAAATTAACAATACACTTTAGCAGGGGGGGGGGAACTAGATTTTTCTATATTGTTATTTTTAAATACTTCCTAGTTTTTACTGCTAACCAAAGTTTTATTGGTATTGAATTTATGACAATGGATATCTATTTTCTAGACACCAACTGAGTTTCTTGTTAGTTTTTGTTTGGTTTTATATATATATATATATATATATATATATATATATATATATATATATATATATATATATATATATATATATATATATATATATATATATGTATATATGAGCTTACAAAATGAAATAATAAAAATTCTTCAATTTTCTATAGCCTAGGTTACTTACTGATCAGCCATATCCACATACTATTGAATTATTAATAGCCTAAGCAATATTTCTAAATCTAATAGTCTATATATCTACTAACTATATTATAAATTATTAACCATATGAATATAAAATTAATACAAATATAAGGGTAAAGATAAATAAAGTACATAGATCTATATAAAATTCTTATCTGGAAGAATTCTATTTTAGGTTACTGATTTCTGACAATAAACTATTCCAAAAATAGGTGTTAGGTTGTAAAATCTCAAGTTTAGTTTAATGGTTAGAAATTAGGGTAAGGGCTATGGGTCTACAACATTATCCCCCGTCAATTAACCCCCGGACATCCAGCGCTATTGCCCCCTGGAGCGATTCCCTCTTCTGTCCTGCCCAGTGGGACATTGCCCTCGTATAAGTTTACGAGATGAAGATGGAAATTGATAAAAATAGCAATATGTATAGATATAATTTGCATTCCAAAGAGATGGAACTACATATAACTAAAATGCCACTACTTATGTGGCTTACTTCTTTAAACGAATTTTACTCATTTTTAAAGTATGTATGGTAATGTCTGTAAACGCGTGTGAAGGAGTGGATTTTAGATTTAGATGCGAATGACACAACCATACATCTTAAATGTGGTCTGCTGTTTGGCTTGTCTGAAGAGTAGGGTTTATTATTTGAACAGAGACATGTTCTACGCATTAGTATATAGATACAAGTCATCAGTACTATTCGCTCTATTATTTAAAATAAACTGAACTTGATTTCAGTTTCAGCTTATTCTTATTTTAACAGGGATAAAGTTCTAAGTGTAGTAAGTATTCAATGAATTTTTTTTAATGTCTATGTTAAACAGGTGTTATTAGTTAGGAATGGAAAAAGCTTTGAGGTAAAGCAAAAATCTAAGTAAAAATGATGTTGTTTGATTGTCCATGTCCTACCATAGGCTGTTCATGTACTACACGGTTGACTGTTCATGTCCTACCATACTTCCATAGTACACTGTCCATGTACTAGATCAGGGGTATCCAAACTTTTCAGTCCGAGGGCCACATTAACTATCAAATTTCAGTTCAGGGGCCAGTTAGTTCCAGACATGTCTTTGATTTTTCTGAGCAAAGTTCCTCGGCCATCACCAACAAACTATTTTTCCTTGGACAAAAATATCTCCGCGGGCCGGATGAGAGGACCTCGCGGGCCGCATCCGGCCCGCGGGCCATAGTTTGGAGACCCCTGTACTAGATCTATCACTAATTCACTAGTATTCACAATAGAAATATATGTAAATAGGCCTACATCTATAGATCTATATTTTATCATAATAAAAGGCCTAATGATTAATGTTCATAAATCTAGGGATGCATCTATTCGGACCCAGGTCACAATAGCCTCGGCCGCTATTGGGACCAGCCAGTAGAATTGTTAAGATTTAGATCTAGTTATACAAAAATTCTTTTAAGATGCAGAAGAATACATCTTTTCTGTTGTGATTTTTTTCCTTGTAATTCTAAATGATATATTAAGATATTGCTTTAAATACCCGATAGCATTACGGACAAATGTTATGATGAGCGGGTGTCGTTAGGTATATAAAATAATTTTGGCCTATGGTATGAACTTCTATGGCCGAGCGAATGTAAAAATGTGCATGTAAAAATGTGTTTTATTTATTTTTTTCTTGTTAACCCTTTCCCCGGCAACATATTTGGTACCCTGTCCCCGGCAACTGGGTGGATCACACCCAAAGACTTTCTTATAGTAATTTCTTTTCTTTGTTCATTGTGGGGTGGGTAACAATACTGACACAGTTAGGTATTCAGGGCATTGTGGCCATGGGGAACACAAGACATGTTGTTGTCAATGGGAAAGCTGTAATATGATACTAGTGGTTGATGGGATTCTCAAGCAAGAGTTAACCTGTGGGTGGACACATGTAGTGATTTATACTCTTTGGTGGAGCTCTGACTTGCAGTTACAGACAAAACTGTAGTTTAGAGTTACAATAGGTTAATGAAATGCAGGGGTAAGATTGCCTGTGGGAGGACATATATAGTGATTTGTACTCTTTTAGGGAGCTCTGGAATGTAGATAGAGACATTCGAGCCTTTTAGAGTAACTTGACATTAAACTCATTAGGAGTACAAATGAGGACAAAAAGGCAAAACAACTTTGTAATGCTGCTTGAAAGTTAATACTGGGCAATTAATTGATCAAACTGGGAGTGGGGTGGGTGTTCTACAGGTTGTGACCCTGAGAGTAAGGTTTATAAATAGTCACAAACGTTATTGAGAACACAACAGAAACAAGTTTTGAACGCTTTTGTCTAAACTCAAGTGCTAATGATAAAGGAATATATTTGCCAGTTTTAGTATAGCAGGTGAAAATGACCAACAAGTTTTGAGTCTGAACTATTTGTATCAGAGGTAGAAGATGAAGAATGGCAGCCATCAGTATCAAGTAACTCTGATGACAAGGTCTACCGAATATACTGCATTTCAACTATCAATAATGTGTCAACAGTTGGCACTCATAATGAAATGAAACGGCTTTTGCAAAGTGAAGAAAAAGAAATATTTTCAGGAAAGACAAAGTAACAGTACACTAGACCACTGCCTGAAGTGCTAATCCCAGGAAATTTATAAACAGCCTGACCCTAAATATTTCTTCTGTGCATGAATACAAAAAATAATACAACCAATATTTGACTGCATTAGCAGGGATGGAGAGAAAGCAAGAGGAGACACTGGCACTCTGCAGAATAACAATTTAGTTGTATGTCAATTCAGTTCTGCTTATGGAAGTTTTTGAAGGCAGAATTTTCTATAAAGAAATTCAGCAACCTTCTGGGTCATATTGAATTTCACAACAATAACACTAACAGTCCATCAGGCTCATGGTATATTTGCTTCCATTATGGTAGATATTACATTCAAATTTAGAAAGGTGTTATGTTTCTGGAGAGATCATTACTAATTAGCAAGTGGTTGACTTTAGAGGTGGGAGTAGATTTATCCAATACATACCAAGCAATTCCGATAAGTATGGAATTAAAATATTTTGGACCTGTGACTCATGTAACACCACTAAAAGGGTGCCCGTATTTTATAAAAATAACTAAAGTTCCCTGCCAGCAAAAGGAAATGTCCAGTTATTTTAATTTTATCTAACAACTGTGCTCTCTGAGGTCCAAATTATTAAAACGTGTTAATGTTCTATTATTTTGATACTAAAGCTGATTACTTCAATCCAGTTTGATATTTTTGTTACTCAAATACCTTCAGATTGTTAATTTATAGTTAAACTTTGAAAACGTAACACAATGACTTAACCCACAATGAGTAAAAACAAATTGTTAGAAGCCAGTTTATAAGTTATAAATATTTTTTCCATTCAAAATTGTGTACGGGTGTGTAGCACCCAGTTGCCAGGGACCGTATAAAAAAATTTCAAACCCTCATAAAAAATTTTTTTACGCATATTTTTAAAATTTACAACCTCCAATGTGTTCATCCCAACCACCTTATAGATGGGAATGAGGCCCAGAAAAATTTATAAAACGAGACTCGAGATATGAGCAAAAATATAGCGACTTCGGGTCGATTACACCCAGTCGCCGGGGAAAGGGTTAAACGTAATTTGAATTCATAGGTCTATCCGGCCATATATATATATATATATATATATATATATATATATATATATATATATATATATATATACAGGGGCGTAGCGATGTGGAGCGGGGGGTGCGGACCGCACCGAGTGACACCATTTAGGGGGGTGACACACAGGCAAAAATAGCAAAATATATAGAGAAAAACTTGAGGGGGGGATGCAAATCGAAAGTTTGAGGGGGGGGGGGGGCAAGTCGAAAACTTGAGGGGGGTGCAAATCGATAGTTTGAGGGGGGAGGGGGGGTGTAAATCGAAAATTTGAAAG